TATGTACCAAAAAAAAAAAAAAAAAAAACTAGATTACCATAGCTACCCGTTGAGTTTTTTTGTACATTTATTTACAAGAATGAGCAAGTAAGACGGTACATATACGCACCTGGAACTACCTAATATAACTTTAATGTGCGTGTGCGCACGTGTGTATGTATTTCTGATTTTTCGTGTGCGCGCCACGCCAGGAATTTACACACACACACACACACACACACACACCCACACACACATACCCTAAGTAAAGTTGCAATAACATCAAACATCAGAAGTGCCTCATGCTTGAAACGAATTTACTGTACATATTTATTGTGAATATTTAATGTAAAAGTTTTATTTGTTTTTTTCAAGATTCAGTACTTCAACGGAAGATGAAATGGCAAGATTAAAACTGTTCAATATAATAAATAAANCTGTTCAATATAACAAATAAAGAAATTACAAAAGACATCAAGGATGTACATATACATGTATATAATGATAGAAAATTTCATGTCTAAAACGCATAAACGTCAGTACATATTTTCAAATGACGAGCAAATGAAAATAGCAAAATTGATATCCGAGATGAAAAAGAGGTGGAACAATAGTAATCGAACAGAAGAAAATTTTCGAAGGAAAAATCAAGATTGGCTATTAAAACTAGTAGATTTACACAAACCAGTGAAAGAAAAATCTGTTACAAAGCAATCTACCCCAGATCGTCCAGGAGTGAGTTTTTCAGAGTCTTCTGATCGTAGTAAATGAAGAAAAACTGAAAATTTACGAGCAACATTATTGACAAACGATTTTTTGTATTCTGCAAATAGTAAAGTGTGGGCTGAAGGTAAAATAGATTTTGCTATGATAGTAGATGATATTACAAAAACTAGTCTTACGAAATCTAAAAAATATAGAAAAATTTTGGAATTCGCGGGTAATACAAATATTCCTTTTACAAGTGACAGAGCTTTGTCTCTTTTTATTAAACTTGGGTTATCACAAAGTAAATACCAACAATTGTGAACGCTCATGTGGAAAATAAATCAAACATGATACCTTCATACAAAAAAGCTACAAAAGTCAAAATTGCAATACTACCCAACTTCGGGACTCTCTGTTACTATAGATAAAGCTGAAGTAAAATTATAACCTCTATTAGATCATACATTGAATCGTATTCTTTTAATTCAAATGGAAGTAGTGAAATTTTTATCATAGGATAATTTAAAAAATTTAACTTTATTTTGTAAATGGGGCTGCTATAGTAGTTGGGGACACTTCACGTACAAACAAAAGTTTGACGAGAACAGCAATAGCGATGAAAGTATTTTTTTTACATCTGTAGTTCCACTACAACTTTTTCACACTAATATTTTGACAGAAGAAATAACTGTTGTATAGAAAAATCCAAGAACATCGTCAACAAGATATTGTGAGCCTGTTTCAATTGAATGTGCTAAAGAATCAGTAGATTTAACAAAAGAAACAACAAATAACGTTGAGCGTCAAATACGAGAGTTGATCCCATTAACTACTACTATTTCTGGGAAAGAAGTATCTATTAAATATGATTTGAGGTTGACGATGATTGATACTAAAGTTGGTAATTCAATAACTGATACAACATCTGCGATGCGTTGCTATCTATGTAATTGTACATCTAGTCAATTTAAAGATATAGATAAAACATCAAAACAGAAAATTGAAGAAGCTCATTTACAATTATGCCTTTCAACTTTACTTTGTTGGATTCGATGCTTTGAGTTTTTATTACATTTATCTTATTAACTTGACATTGGAAAATGGCAAGCTCGATCAAAAGAAGAAAAAAAATCACGATCAAAATAAAAAGGTAATATTCAAGGAGCCTTCAAAATAGAATTAGGCTTAATTGTAGACGTACCAAAAGCCGGTAGTGGAACTTCAAACGACGGAAATACAGCTCGAGGTTTTTTTGAGAACTATCAAAAATCTGCAAAAATAACAGGAATTAATTAAGATATTATACATCGTTTTTATATTTCGAATTAGCAAAAGATATTGTACAAAAATATCCCTGGTATTACATGCCTACATTAGTTTATAAACTTTTGATTCATAGCCCAATAATAATAAAATATTCAGTGTTGCCTATTGGTCAAATATCTGAAGATGCACAGGAAGTCTGCAATAAACTTGTTAAAATTTATCAGGCAAATTTTGCAAGAAAACATTATCGTCAAAAGACAATGGAGGATGTCTTCAAACGATTTTTGATTGCATCTGATCTACAAATATCTAGTTGCCAATAATTACTTATAAAACCACTCAAATCTTTATCTAAAGATTGTTTTGATTTGCTAGCACCTCCAAATATGAATAATAGAATAGAAGATGAACAATCTTACGAAAGTTCTTCTGCTTCTGAAACAGACATAGATAAAGATGACTGTGACCGATATAAGATAGGCAATGACAATTTTTTCATGTAATATTTGATAAATTATACATATTTTATTCACTCAAATTGAACGCTGCACTTCTGAACTGAAAATTCGTAAATTACTCTTTGATTTAAATGAAAATATATCAATACATGGAAAAAAATAGTAGTTTTCCTACGAGTTTGAAAAGTCTTTGTTTGCGAACCGAGAGATTTGCGGCCCGAGCCGAAGGCGAGGGACGTAACGAGGTTCGTAAAGGAGACTTTTCGAACGAGTATCGGAAAACTGCTTTTTTGCCCGAGGAAGTACCACCCTCCCAAAACCACCCGAGGGCGGAAAAAGATTTTTCATTATATAACATTACCATATTGCTTTTCACGATTTTGAATTTGTTAATTTTTTATAAATTTTCAGCTACTTGGCTTAAAAATCTCAAAAAAATAAAATTTCATTTAACTGTCAAAGTTCTGTGATTTTTATAAGTTTTTTCATATAACATGACACCATATGAGGTCGGCCATTTGGAATTCATTATTTCTGATAACAGATTCATGATCAATGACCCTAAAAACCCCTTTATACTAATTTATAGATTTTTTTTTTTTATATATTATAGTGCTTTACGTCCGGCTCCTATAAAGGGCACTACTGAGAGCACTTAGCACTTTGGAGGAGGAAGGGAAGAGGGATGGGAGGCCTCCCATTACTGGGAGGGGGGTACGGGGAAATTAGGCAATTATGCTGCGAGAAGGTTGCTTAAACCCTCCTCGAGGAGCATTGCGTGGTGAAAAAGCACATGTGAAAAATCACAGAGGTACTTGCCCAAAAAAGTCGCACTGGCCGGGAATTGAACAACGGTCTTCCGCGTGTCAATCCACGACCTAGCCAACTGAGCCACCGCGCGCTCCACTAATTTATAGATCATTATAAGTTATAGATCATCATCAAATTCGTAATCAGCAACCCCTAAAACCTATAAATTGACATGCATATTAATTACGTTAAATAATATACGCTATTTCACGTGAGGGGGTAGTAAATAGGGGAGGAAAGGGGTGGCTTTTCAAATTTTTAATATCAAATATGTAATCAGCGACCCCGAAATCCCCCGAGTAAAAATTTTTGAATCAATTACTTAATTTTTTGACTTTTGGCCGCCCAAACCGGTCTTTGGCCGCACTGTGCAGCGTACCGATTATGCCAAGCAGCACGCGCAGATAAAAGAAGTTGCGTAAGAGAGAGATCAATCCCCCACAAAACTCACGAAGCATACGCAGAGAGAGAAGTACAACTGCAGGAAATGGCCGGTGTGTTGGAGTTGCCATGGCGATTGGAGCACAGGTGTGTTGGAGTCGCTCTTGTTTATCTACTTTTTTTAACAAAAAATTTTTCTTTATTCGATAATTTTCTTAAAATGATTTTTTTGGTTAAACTGACAGTTGTCAGCTACAAGCCTAATTTAACAATGTTTTTAATTAATATTTTTAGTTACTAAGTACCAGAAGATATTAAGTTGTATACACACCAAGGATAAAAATGAAGAACACTGAGATCTTGTATTTGTAACCCTTGATTTTGCCTCAAGTGATGATACACATAAGATCTAGATCATTCTTTACTTAACCATCCTAGGTGTATGAAAAGCTATTAAAATTTTTAAGGTCTACAAAATTTCTGTTATATAAGTATGCTGTAGTTTGTGAAGGTTGGTAGGTAGTCAGTGAGGTTTCAACGAAAGTTGTAAGAGGGGATTGGTGGTGGGTGGTGGGGGTAAAAAAAAATTTGTGCTAGGCAGTTAGAGGGTCATTGAGAGAAAGCAGTGGGTCAGTGGGTCAGTGGGAGCTATTAAATATAGAAAGATGTGAGACGTGGCTTAACCTTGTAAAGAATCACATGAGGCAAATGAGATTCGGTAATGCTACTCTTATATCATAACGTCAGTACTGCCGATAAATTATACTACCCGATACTACCCAAGTAAATCTTAAAACAATATTTTTCTTTACTTTTACGTTTTATGTAACAATGTTTATTATGCTTACGTTGCAAACAATTACTACTGGAGCTTAAGTAGCTCTAATGCACACAGTTTATGACCACCTGAACTCTATAATCCGTTTGCTTACCGTGAGATCCCTAGTTATATGACTTTTTATTTTTTAAGCTTAAGCTATATTTCTAGTACAAGCTAGTGGCGTTTTTATTGTATGAATATTTTTAAATTTTACTACCACCGAATTTCCTGATCAACTTATCCCTAAAACAATATCTGTTAATAAATTCAAATATACCCCGTAAAACAATATTTTTTATGTCTCTGGTTTAATTCTTCAAATTATACTATAATTAATTAAATCATTTTCCATAGGCAAGTCTTACTACCCTTGAAATTCATGATATTCAAAGAATGGATTATACATATTTTTACTACGCTAAAGCTTGTAAAAATACTTTTTTTCATCGTATAAAAAATTGGAAGATCATACGTTTTTTTCAAATACAAATACTTCATGTGATTCGTTGAGTTTTCCATAAATAATTTTTCTAATGTAACTGTGAAATTCATTTGTAAATCCAAATAATTTGTTTAAGGTGCTGGGGAGTCCGGTAAAAGTACAATTGTGAAACAAATGAAGTAAGTTCATACTATACAATCTTCATTACTATTATATTTATGTTTATATTAGTAGTGTTTTTAGTTATTACATTCTATATCTTTTCGATGACGTTCTTAAGAAATTGAAAAAACAGTATTTAAGAAAAAAACCAGTCGTGAGGGGTCTACGGACTGCCGTTGAATCCAACTTCTATTCACTTTTTTGTAGACGTTGGCTACGTACAGTCATAATGTATAGGATAAAATATTAAGTGAATGAAGTGGAAAAATTTATGTTAAAATATATTTATTATGTATGTATAAAATAACAATAACTTACGGAAACATTTAAAACAAAACAAAAAAAGTTTTTTTGCTGTTTGTTACTATAAGTGTGTTTTAACAAAAAATAATGAATTTTAAAAGATAATTATTTAATAGGCAAGTTGATGATAAAAAGATTGACGTAAGATTACTTTACGAGTAATAGAAGTGGGGATAAAAGCAAAAAACTAAATAAGAAGTCAGCAACGAACCATCAATTTTGAAATAAATAAACGAAATTAACTTCGGGCTAGGGCAAAACAATTTTTTCCATATTCCTGGAGAAATTCAGTATAGAAGTAACGAACTTTTTCTCTACTGAAAAACATAAGATTGTAACGTATTTTTTGTTTCCGGGCAATGAACTTAAGAGCCACTTTTACAGTCAGTGCAATCTGTGCAATAGCGTGGAATGTGGAAAGCGGCAAGAGACTAATGATTTATTTTCGAGTCAAGGTATACGTGTGCGTATATATATATATATATTTACAGCAGCCGCTGTAAATGTGTAGGTAATGCTAACGGTACGTGGTGCGAGACTGCGGGGATGAGCTACTGACCAAATACAAACGAAGGAGGCTGAACATAAGAGCCTGTCCAGGTTCTTCGGTGCGCGCGCAAGAAGAGAAAGAGAGAGTTGCCTGTGGCAATGTATGTAGCCTTATACACGGCTGTATTTCTATAGTGGGGGAGAAAAAAAGTCTTGTTACACTTTTTTCGCTCTAGCCCTCATTCACCCAAAACTCATAACGCAAGAAAAGGAACTTCGTTCCAAAAGTGGAAAAAAAGTAATTTAATCTTCCATTTCTTTATTTTATAGTATCAAGGAATAAACGTAATCTTGTTTTTAAGAATGCAGTAACTTGTTATCTGGTATGTTTTATCATTCAATGATAAGTTATATTAAATTAAAAAGAACTATAAGAATTTACATCACTATGGATTATATTGAGCGTAGATGGCTTAATAAGCTATTAAAAACTAATAATGAACAAAGTTATAACTACGACTTCCCTTTCATTGGGTATAACCCCGGTTAATTGGTGGTGGTAATAATCGGCCAAGAATATTATCTTTACCGAGGAAACTCTAAGATTAGGAACCAACACACAAACAATGTTAGTGTTTTTATGTCGAAGGGCGGGTTCGTTGCCCTGTGTAAAAGAGCGAAGTGGCTCAGATTGCTGATTACTAACTATACAATATTTAAAAATAATTATTATCAAGTTTCAAAATTTATCTGTTGAAAAATCAATTAATTCCTGCACAATATACAGCAATTGTTTTTTTATTATTACTTTATTGAATTCTCATCGTTCCCTGAATATTCCCTTAAGTTAATTAATTTAATGTCTTTCTTAACTTATTCAATATCTTTCTAAATTTAATATCTTTTTTAATTTATTCCTGCCCTTTTTTGGGTACAGACAATATTCTCATTTCATATAAACAATTTCATAAATATCTTAACAGCTATCATTCAAGATTTTATCTTAAACTATATAAAAGGAACTCGCAATCATACGTGGAGGGAAAGGTTTGCTTAAACTCGTACAATCAATTTATTTTTAATTATCTTATATTAATTCGATCATATGATTCTAAGGAAATTGTATCTTCAATTTCTACATGTATTAATTATATTTGAGTAATCGCGGTTATTTACGTTAATAATGAAAAAGGGAAATACATAATTTACTCGATAATTTAGAATTTACTTAAAATTTATTCGCCTTTGTTTAATAGAAAATTCTACATAAATGACAATTCAAATTTTTCCTCCTTAATATCTCTGCTTAAATACGGTAGGTTAGACAAATACGAATTTTTATTACAACCACGGAAGGTTAATGTTAGGTAACTACCTATCTACGAAGTCACGTAGGGTTAGGTCGTTCTCAGGGCCCTTGGATGTCTTGAGCACTGCTCAAGTCGTCAACCCAGGAACTTTGCCTAAGAACGTGATCGCTCACCCTAGTGCCTTGACTACTTGGGGATGCGTCGTCTCCACGCTTCAAGCTGTCAAGCACCAAAAGTCCAAGTAGGAACCGTTTAGTGGAAGGGTTACTTTTAGGTGGTGTGCAAACTTACTTTTCAGCTCTTGGCCTTCATACTCAGTCTCCTTCTCTCACCTTGTGCTCGTCGCGGCAATGTACCGGTGTACGAGAGAGTTCTAGGTCTGGGTGACCGCGGATCTCCGCGTCCCAGGTTCACTGGAAGAGAACTACTTTACACTGCGCGCTGGTGCCTTTTATGCTAATGTTGTTTCCTTTTTAGTAGCAGGTTTGCTCTTCTTCAGGTGAATGTGCTCTAGCGTTTTCTTGACGTACTATACGCACATTCCCCGCGCGCGGCATTCAAATTTGAATTTTCAAATAGGAATTTTTTATAAAATGAAATATATGTATATATTAAAAAAAAATGTAAACCTTTGAATTGTCTATTGTACGGATTTTTTTTATTACAAGAAAATATAATAAATAGAAGAATATAAATGTAAATGTAAAGCGTATATTATAAATGCTGGGTGATAGAAGTGCCCCTTTGCATAACTTGTAAAAGTACTATTATACGTTAAAAGAAGTTTTAGAAGACATATTACATATATTTTCTATCGTACAAAGAATGAATATAGTATAAAAGTCCATGATTGTCTATAAATCCACAGAATCGGTAATGTGTCCTTTGTTTGAATCCATAACGCAATACTTTGTTGAAATGCCTACATGCTATGATCGTATAAAAACTTTTTTTTGTTATAAATACCTACTAATCTAGTGTATTTATTTTTAGGCGTTTATTGTGAATGATTACTTGTAACCTTGTGACAGTGGTGCTCATTGTTACATTATTGGTTTTACACAATATGGCATTGATTACATGTTAGATTATTTATTACACATATTTTACAATATTGAGTACAGTTTTTCAATTGGTTGGTGTGGTGATGATGTCACATAGACCCTTTCAGAGAATAATCAAAGAGATGGGCAATTCTGCTGTGAGAAGGTCACTCATCCCTTTACTAGGAACATTCCTTGATGAAAAAGCACACGTGAAAGTTTACAGAGGTACTTGCTTAGGAGAGTCACACAGGCCAGAAATCAAACCACGGTCTCCCACGGGCCTACCCACAAACCAGCTGACTGAGCCACCTCGCGCTATTGTAGTATGAATAATGTGTTCACATGATAGCTAATAAGCGTTACTAAACTTAGAAATTTTAAATGATACACAAGCTTGTAATGCCAATTATAACTTTCCTTTACCTCAAAGTTTATGATGTCATAACTATTTCATCAACGAAAACTATTTTTTTTTGTAGTATATAACATTATTCCTACTATATTTGTCGTAAAAAAAAATTCAAATTAATTGACGTCTAGTGTATGGATACATATTATGTTACGACTTCCCTTTCATTGCGTATAACCCCGGTTAATTGGTGGTGGTAATAATCGGCCAAGAATATTATCTTTACCGAGGAAACTCTAAGATTAGGAACCAACACACAAACAATGTTAGTGTTTTTATGTTGGAGGGCGGGTTCGTTGCCCTGTGTAAAAGAGCGAAGTGGCTCGGATTGCCGATTACTAACTATACAATATTTAAAAATAATTATTATCAAGTTTCAAAATTTATCTGTTAAATAATCAATTAATTATAAATATAATGGTTTTNACTTTGGGGCATTTATACATTAAAGTAATACATAATCTTAAAAATATAATGGACGCAGTGAAGATCAAAAGTATTGCATAACGTAAGTCTTGTATTGTAAGACGTTTGGATGAGTATGGTTGTGGAAATTTTTCTTATTATGACAATAGAACAGGCTTTTAACCGTTGGATAAAAATTTTGGTAACTTGACGCACCCTCGTTGCCTGATAGATAGTACCTCCAGTAGAAGGTTGTTATGTGTGATAACTTCAGTTGAACTTACTGATGCCATGAAAAACTTCAAAAAGTTTCAGAATCAAACGCAATGCAACAGATTTAGAAAAAATCAAGAATTCTTTTGGTATGAATTACACAATTTCTTCCACTCTAGATGTAATGACTATCAGTCACCACGTAAAAGACGATGAAACTATTATTTGCTACAATGCATGAGAAGTGGAGTTGAATATAATGAACAAATAAGATGGAAACTAGGTGTGGGTCCCAGAACTCCCAGCAGAAGTGAGACTTTCAACTCAAATGTTATTAAACTTGGTATAACAGAAGCTAAGAAAATTAAATCTTACCTAATTTCAATAGATCTTGAAGAATCCTACATTTAAATAGTAAAAATTTTTTTATTAATATTTGTGTAAGTGGGTAATTTGAAAGTGGGAGTAACGACAACTTTTATGCAGATCTATAGTTGGAAAGGCTTTCTAGTTAAGTTTCAGAGTGGCTGTGCAACGTTGGACAAGTCTTTTTTGAAGTACCAACAGTAACCTGCTAGCCTAAAAAATTGAATCATTTATTAGACGGATTTTTTATTACAAGAAAATATAATTAATAGAAGAATACAAATATAAATGTAAAGCGTGTACTATAAATTCTAGGTGATAGAAGTGCCCCCTTGCAATGTTTTATTTACATATAGTCTCAAAATAATAGTTCTGATGATGCAGAAACGATGAGTTGCAAGGCTGTAAGGAAGACTATTTCAATAAAAGTGGGTATGTAGAGTACATTTTTTAAGTTTAGACTTGAAAACTTATGA